AAACATCTTCCTTCAAAAATGATTTATTAACAGCGATTCTTATTTTAATAACTTAAACATGTAAGCAGTTTAAAATTATTTTATAAAGATATGTATAAATTAAAAAATTAGACAAATTTCAAAAAACGAGAAAAATGCATGCATAATTAAATAAATGGAATTTATTTTAAAATATAATTTCTTAACATTTCTTATCACATCTTCTTATTGCAACTATTTATATACATTTAGTATAAAATTATATTATAAAACTTTGCATGTATTATTTTTATTATAGTTTCAAGGCTTAGGTATTTAGATATTGAAACCCATTGAACTCTCAAACATATACTGATTTCCGACAGTGGACAAAACTCGACCAAATAATTAATTTTATACAGTCTCGTGCTCGTAGGAGATTTGATCATTTCCAGTGAACATCTTGAAATGTGTGATAAATTCACAATTTGCATATAATAATAAATTAATTATGTATTATTAATTATATATTGATATTGTTATGCCCACGAGAGATGATGTTCGAACCTTAGGTTCGAGCAAAATCGAACTGTTATTTGAAAATAAAAGCGTTCTCTTCAACGTCAGCTGTTTGGTTGTTTTTAACGTCGTCATTGGAATTAACATATGCGTCTTTCTCTGTACTTCTTTCATCTGAATAAAATCTTGGAGTATTTTTTTCTTATGTCTTCTTCATTACACGTGAATCTCACTGTGAACTCGCGGATGCGTAAGCGGATTGGCGGACATAACATTTTGAGGGCTCGTCCAGGATCACAGAAGAAGAGATGGCTTCAATGGTGACTCTAAAAAAGAAACTTCGAATGGAGACACCGAAGTCTAATAAACAATAGCAGCTCGATTCTGCTAAGGTCGTCTCTCGTCGGCAAAATAATACATTTTATAACAAATTAAATATTTCCTGACAATAAATTTGCAACACGAAGAGTAAAAGTACGTGCAAAATTCTGTATTAAATAGAATATATTCTAAAAAAATTATTTCTTAGAAACGTGATTTATTTCGATAACTTATTCAATATAAAATTATTTTATAAAACTTTTCACTTATTATTTTTGTTACATTTTCAAGGCCTATTTGTACTTGGACGCCAAGACTATCGAACACTTAGAAGTAGTACTAGTACTTCTAAAGTTGACTTTATGTAGTATTCACTTGAAGTATTGACTTCAAATGTGGATAGAATATAAGTAAGCAAGCTGTTGATATTATATACGATGTATCTTCTTGAAAATTTTTTTTCACTTACAATAGATATCTTAGAATGCAGAAAATTGCAATATATATTAATATATAAATTAATCATGTTGTGTATGGAAGTACTTTATAATAAATTAAATATATTGAACAAAATGAAGATCAAAATTCTGATTATTTATGGCTTTTTGTTAGTGATAACTTTTCATGGATACGACTTTAGCGATGGGATAGTTAATATTGTGAAGGTTTCTAAACTTAGGGATGAATTGTACACATTGTAGTAGCATTATAACAACGCTATTTTCTTCTTTTTATTTGTTAATGGCGGTTCTTCAGAATCAATATATCTTCAGGCTATAAATCAGTAGTTTTAGAAATTATCATGAGAAATTATTTCGTAGTCTCACCATCTGTTTATTTTCTACAAATTATGACATAAGAGCCGAACTGATTCCACGCGGTCGAGATATATTGTTTTTGTGACAGACAACCACAAGATTCCATGT